CCCACCCCCCCCCCCCCCCCCCAAGGTAACAATCTATCTCACAAGCACTATTGTTAAAAAGCCCTACATTACTACCTCTCTGCCCTCACCTATAGTAAATGTGGTGACTACGCTGGGAGTGGTTCATGTTGGGTGAAGGTTCATACAAGCAGCAGATTTCACGAATCTGCTTAAGTGCTGGTAAGGCCCATTTGTCACCAGACTTCAATTCCTCAACACAATTGTCTAACCATACTGTTTTTTGAGCATCACGCTCTTGTGAGCAGCTATAATCCAGAATCTTGACATGTGCCGTCAGCGCTTGATCCATGATCTCTGTTGGAACATCATCAGAGTGCGCAAGGTTCCAGAATAAGGTCAGCACCTGACACATTCAACAACAATTACATGAATTAAAATTGGTTCATAGCATGAAACATGTATACAGTAATTCCTGTATTTGAATTCTTTGTGATCTTCAGCATCTGAGAAACATCAGCACATATGAGCATCAAGAAAAGATAGTGCCTAGATTGCAATGCAGTAACACTATGAAGACAGACAGTAAGATATCAAGGCCTGAGAAGCCTTCTGTTTCAATAGCAGATCCTCACTCTAACAAAAATCAACCAACATTTATTTTATGATCTCCATCTTGCTACCTTCATAGGAATCGGCTATTGTTTTTATTTCAAGTTAATGATCTCAAAAATTTAGTTTACTGTCATATGAGCATATAAACACAAAAACTACAGTAAAATTTCCAAACAGCAAATTTTAAATTAAAACTTTTGACTTTGCTACATTTTACTTCTTTTTGTAAAAAGACCATATACCAGCAAGTACAGTAATTTGTATCTGAATAGAACCTAAAAACAAAAGTTCTATAAGAAAGGTACTGCTTTTACTAGCAAAGTTAAAAATAATTATTGAATAAATATAACTAACTAGATGGCTTAAGGAACCTGAAGGTTCATCACCAAATTAATCAAAGCCCTCCACCAGTCCCTGTCCTATGGAGCCTGCTTGATTTTATCCTCCCATATATGGAACACAATTCTGAAACTGATCTTACACCTCCCAAATCCCTTAATTTTTGTCAAATGCTTCTGTCTTATAAGAACATCAGCATTATCTAATTAATAATTACACATTAAATGTATAATTATAGTATACTGGGATACTGTGAATGACTCGTTCTTAAAGTGCCTGAGCACTGTGGGTTCCAACTTTTCATTGGCTTGATCTATAGACATTCGGTAGGACTTCTTGGACGAGGGATCGGCCCGTTGCAAGGCCTCTACCTGTACACAGGACAGCACAACTCAGAAAAACGTGGACAACATCCATGGTTTGAGTGGGATTTGAACCCACAGTCCCAGTGACCAAGCGGCACAAGGCCCATGCCTCAAACCGTGCGGCCACTGTGGACCCCAATTATAGTATAGCAAAGTTTAAATTTTTAACTGAACATATTCTGACTGCATAAGAATTTGCCTCAAAGGTCTGCACTGTTGCAATATTTGTAATTTATACAATAAAAACACTGTTTCCTACAAAATTTGTAAGTATCTTTATGAAATACAAAATTTCACATACCTAGATTCAACAGTGTACTAGTAATTATCACAATTGTAGCTACAAACATGAGAGTAATTCAAATGACAACTGTTTTGCTATAAAATGACTGTAATGCTTTACACAAGTAACCAAAATTATTTCACAACTCAGTCACCTTCTTTCTTGCACACAACTTCTCTGATCCCTCACTTCCATGGCCAGTAGTGGTAACAGTACACAAGCATATCCACTAGCTGATGCTTTTCACGCTATCTACCAGTTGAAGCAAACACACATAATATGTTGGTTGGGAGTTTGAGAGATTTAAATAATCATGAAAGACATTCCTAAATTATAAATATGTAAAAGACCATGGGATGAAGTAGATTGTACATGTTGCGACCCCTTTCTACAGCAATAAAAGTTGCCTCATGACAAGCGATACGCTTTCCATAAAAGCAGTGCATATCCCAAATAAATGGGGAATGTCTTCAAACAAACATCTATACCTTATGTGCCATGACTCCATCTTTGTCATCCTCTGCTAGGCGACGAATAAGTTCTAACAATTTTTCCCTCTGTTTCTTGTTTGCGTTTGTCCAACTTGCCTACAATTAAAGAAATACAATTGTGCATACAATGAAATGCCTTGTTTAAACTTTTCTGAAGATTAATATAAATGGTGTAAACTGCAGGAAGTTCAAATTACAGGGAATGCTTACCATCATCTTAAGCTTGTACTGAAATGTTCAAAACATAATATAAGTAGATTATTAAAAAATCAACAAACGTTTTTACATGCAATTCCCAGAATCTTAACAATATAATGATGAATGTCAGTTGTCAAATACTATGAAAGTTTTCTGCAAAGAACAAACAATGCATATACAATAGAAATCAAGACACAAGTATGGCCAAAAATGAGAAGCCAATTTCTATTAGTGTTCTTAATGCACAGTCAATGTCTTAAAGTTAAGGGAATATTTTTCAGTTGTAATGAGAGCATTACCTTCAATATGAGTGAGTTTGATTGCTTTTCACAATTGCGTAAACTTACATCTGCCAATGTGGCACAGTCCACTTTTCTTACTTTCATAAAGTGAAGGAATAATGAAGCAATTTGTCTAAGAAATGAGTTGTATGGTGTAACTTGCAACATGAATCTTGATTGACAAACTTGGTACAAAATATTTTTCTCACTCTGGAACCACCTAGAATTTATCTCTTCATGTGGCATATGCCGCTAAGATAGATACTGTGCATTACACAAATTATTTAAAACTTAACATAACTGAAATGTTAGATCTGTTGTTATAAAAAGTGTTTACAGCCTTGTGTGTATGAAGAGAAAAATGCAAGGATCTAGACAAATGTTGCATGTTGTGTTACGCCTATGTCAATCAGCAATGTAAAAACTGAGTTATCCTTTATAATTACAATCAACACATTTTGGTATGTGCATTGTCAGAATACAAAATGTTAGTTTCAAAATTCACACTAAGATGTTCAAAGTATGAATTCCCACAGTTATTAAAGTGACAGAAGCATCTTTGATCTGCAATGTGAGTGTAACTGTCGGTAAAATAAATTATTTTAAGTACTATGGAATTTTGAGGGTGATCAAAATGTCACACCCCCATACACAAATATTTACTGATGGTTGCAATTCAATACAATTCACCTGGATTAATAAACATACAATATTACTGTGACTATACAAGAGCCCATGCAGATCACACCATGCTGTTATCTGCTCATGCCAGTCCGTCAGTCTTGTCCATTCAGTCAAAGTGCAAGGTTATCTTTTCCAAATGCAATGAGTATTCACTGTCAAACACTACCATTCAAATTTGACTTGCCAAAATGAGTTTAGGATACATTTCCCAATTCTCCTATGCCAAACACATCAACAATAGCTTCCATCAAACTTCATTATACTCTGCATAAAGCTCACTGAGAAAACTTTCTCTTCAGAGTGAATTATCATATGGACGTGAACACGAGGTTAATGGGTTGTGTGACTTTTGAGCATTCTGTATATGAATTCAATTAAAATTATAGGAGTATAAATGGTAATATGAATTTATTTTACATACCATCAGATTCTGGCTGAAATTTTTACCTTTCCAAATGTTTAACTACACATACATATTATTCATTACAATGAAATTTTTTCAAAATATTGTTAACTCTTGTAATAATGGATTTCTACCACACTTCGAACAATGCAAATTCCCACAAATATGCCGTCTGCACAAATACAAAAATTCAAATCAACTGCATGTCTTGCATTGGACTAGATCTACAGATTAAACTATGATAATGACAATGGTAGTAGTTAACCTGAAAACAGTCACACACACTGAGAGCTAAAATAATGCCTGAAAGATGGCAACCAACTCACAAGAGAAGCCAATAGCTGAGAAGAAAAGTTTACCAGTCAATGAAAAAAGGGGTAAAGCAAGAACATTTAAATGAATTGTGTGGATTTTATGGAAACTTAAAGCACCAAAGTTTTGGAAACATTAATAGAACTTGAAAAAATTATGAGATCCTTAAAGAATGAAGGCCTCATGTTTTGCCCCTGTTAAGCGTGTCCCTTCCCTCCATGGCACGTCCTTAGGAAGTCCTCAACATGTGCACTGCAAGTTGAAAAAGCCACTGCAGAGTCAACATTGGGTACCTGTCCAGTCTGGGAATGGTGTATGTGTCTAATGAAGAAGCTTGTTATGAAATCCATCACAATGTCTCAACACAGATTCTTCAGTTGAATAACAATAAACTACAATGAACCAAAATTACATTTGGTAGACAATATTTACCTCCCAAATTTCATATGTAGTTGTTTGTGAGTAGAAATATAGCAAGGTTCCACATAAGGAATTATTTATTTTTATGCGTTACCTAATGATTTGAGTCAAATATTAACACAAAATTACTCCAACTTTATTTTTACTTTGACTTGTTATTCCTTCAACATAAATAAAGCCATCCAACTACACACCTGGAAACACTCAAAGAGATGATCCAGCTGCTCAGGAGAGAAGTCCCATGCCAGCTTAGCTAAAAGATCATGTACATTTTTAACGATTGCTTCATGTTTCCCTGCTTGTGCCGCCCACACATTGTCTAGGTCTTCTAGGGTAAGAGACCGTTCTTTGATGATGAATCGGAGTATCTTCTCCAGCTTCTCTACATATTGTGGCTGATGCAGTGAATCACGCAAAACAATCTGTAGTACTCTGTTGTCCTTGATCCACTTCTGCACTCAAACAAACACAGTACTATGAGAACAAAAACTACACCCTACATTGATTACAAAGATTTGTAAGAAATATATATATATAAACCCTCAACATTTTTCACTATTACAAGTAGTGGTATAGTGAAACTTCACTATAACACAACTTTAGAATCCTAATTTTCTAAAGAGAAAATTGAGGAAAAATGTGTCTACAATACTGAACAGTAATAAGAACTGTAATCAATGTCTGTGTAATTACTTATTTTCCTTTGGCCATATTTCTAAAAAAACCCAGGGAAATTCAGATGAAATGACACATACTTCACTGGAAGTAAAACCACTGAAGTTACAGGAAAATTAATGGGAATGAGAAAAAGGCCAAAATTTCTGGGAAATTTCAGAAACAAATGTGAGGTTTTAGACTGTGACCAGATTACTCCATCAGACAAGAGTACAGGCATACCTCGGAGATAATGTGGGTTCAGTTCCAGACCACCGCAATAAAGCGAGCCACACAAATTGTTTGGTTCCCCGGTGCATATAAAAGTTATGTTTACACTATACTGTAGTCTATTAGGTGTGAGGTGTGCAATAGCATTATATCTAAAAGAACATTGCGAGAATTACCAAAATGTGACACAGAGACATGAAGTGAGCACATGCTGTTGGAAAAATGGCGCCGATAGACTTGCTCGACGCAGGGTTGCCACAAACCTTCAATTTGTAAAAAATGGAATATCTGCGAAGAACAATAAAACAAGGTATGCCTGCACATACTTTCTAAACTGTGCTAGTGCTGCCAACAGCCATGATAGTTATGGTTTGGGTAGTTTGCATTCTATCGCATAGAGTAAAAGCAGGTATTTAAAAATTCTTGAAATTTGAGATTGAGAAATAAAAATAAGACTGAGATATTCTTCTTCATAATTTGATCTCAAACATTCGAGACCATTTATAAAACAAAAGAAGACAGCGCATGGTGTCACAGCCTCACAAACCAACAAATACTGTAACTTACGGCCATTCTCTCAGCAGTGAGCCATTCTTCCTCCTCCAGTCCAGTGTGTCGATGAGGGTAGTACGTCACACTGGCAATTACTTTATTCACCTCATTTAGAGCATTCATCTTCCCATTGAAGGATGAGATCTGAAGTAACCTGTACGGCAAAACAATTATATTTCTATTACATTAACCTACAAATTCCTTCAGACCATAGAATTCTACTAAGGAAGTATTAAGCTGCCCAGGTATTCACTGACATACACTATAAATGTAAATAACTTATAATGGAAAAATGAACCATATCTTACTAAAGATTGGAAGATAAGGCTGTGTGAAGGAAGTTGATCATCCTCAGTATTGGATGGGACTCCAAGTAAAATGCTATCCCCGTATGTAGGGTTTGGGGTGAGAGGTATAGCTTTCTCATCTTAACCTTGACAATAAAAGGGGGTGAGTGGTCAGTTCCATGTCCCACCTGTGCTTTACCCCCAGGAAAGGACCCCAGTGCCCATTGGACAGGATGCTGGGTGGGCCCCAGAGCCAGTCTCAACACAGACACTAGAGGAAAAATCCTCTGCCTCTGTCAGGGATTGAACTCTGGTGATTCTCAAATACACTATGAAAAGTATGGTATTTTTGTGCAAAGAAGTTTGCGGAATCCTGAACTATACAGAACAAGACTGGGAAGACGTACTCACTGAACCTTGACCACCGTATAAACAAATACATACATAGCAAGTCTCCTGAAGTTTTGCCATCACTATGTGAAATATTTTTAATTTCAAGCATACATGAAAAATTTAGAACACATTAATTTATTTGCATAACAGTTGTTGGTGTTGGCTTCCATTCCTAATTTACTCCAACTCAATGAAGCAGTTTAAAAATTAAATAAAACATTCAGACATGACCTCTCTCTGACCTGAGTACAGTTCAGCTAAAAATGCATGAAATATTAACACACAATGAAATTCAGAGGTTTCTTATTAAATTATTATGCTTAAAACAAACCAGACACACACTTTAGTATTGTTATATATGGTTAGAACACATCCAACATAAAATAAATTTTAACTTCAGAATATTCTGATGGGACAAAATAGCACAATGAGACATGGTTAAGACATTTAAATGAAGATGTCACAACAAATAATATTTTTAAGGAGTCATCAAAGTCCTCATACCATAAAGAAATTTTTCTAAATTATCTTATCTGGGAGAAATTTTGGGAAAAATTCAAAGCTTAAAGGAAGCCCAAGAAAACAATATTATGGACACAAAAGGCCTTTACTGTGATTACCTAATGATTTCCATTCAATCTGAAAAAAATGGTTAACATTACCATGTAATTTTCATACCTGAGAATCATTTTCAGTCTAAATATTTCTAAGTTTTTGACCATCTCCTCCTGGTTAGGTACCCTGGACACCAGACATTTGGCAGCTTTGATGATTGCAGAAATAGCATCATTTTTTGATTCATTTTTTGCTTCCTTTTTTAACTCATCATCTGTCAGATTATCTAAAATTACAGGCACCATTTCCTAAAACAAAGAACACTGATCTGGAAGAATGGTGCTTTTGTCTTCAGTAATTTAACACTGAATATTTTGTCAATTTTGTATCACAATTATAATTTTTCACTAGACTCTTGCAGGGAGGCATTACTTCTACATCAGAGAAAGAAATGCAAGCATTCATTATGACCCTGAAAAGTGCAACATTTTTTATTTCTAGATTAAACACATAAGAAAGTAATCACTGATTCTGCGATAGTTTAAATGATGGTTTTCACTGTCACACTCCTGATCACAAACATTTTTTTTTAACTTTTGGAGCTTAGTCTGACAAACACATGGGCACCAACATGGCACAGCTTACTTAGCATAAAGAAGTATTACTTTGAAAACCAAAAATAATGGAACTCATAAATTTAACCATATCCCTTACAATCCCAGTTAACTAGTAGCAGATAGAATATTGCTGCTACAAACTATTATCCCAATTTCTTTCATTCCTAGCAATAATTTGAGCACTTTCTCACTAGGCAAAAAGTGTTTAGCAAGACCTCCTACCACACATTTCCAAATAAGATATACTAAATTATTCTGCAACATGAAATCATAGCATAATTTTGTAAACAGTATGTTGAAATATCACAGGAACAATGCCACACACACATTGTAATAATTTACAAATAACACACTGCTTCTTAAATCATTGTATTTTGATGCATAAAGTGAAGCTTTCGTGGCGACTGAAGTTGATGAAAGACTCTCGGCTTGGCAGAAGATGTGGTTTATTCACCATTCAGCCACCTGACGAGGCTTGTATTGGTGATACAAGAAATGACATCATATTGACAAATGTTTTCTTACAGTATGACTACAAACATAAATAAGGCAGACACAAAGACCTTTAACAATTGTGGACAACTGACATATGTTAAGTATGTGCTTAAAGTGACTGACAAAAATGACAGTGGCCGAGCTTTGGACACTTTTGCATATCTACTGTCATATGCCTTTGTGAGCCTATTGGCTTGAGAGAGCTGGTGTATATTCAGCGACTTCAAGCATAATGCAGACACCATTTGTAAATGTATCTATCTCTCTATGTCACCCACCTTCCTTCGTGTTGGTCAGTACAGTTTATAAGATGTCATACGTTAAGTAATTACTTCACTTTTTCCCTGCCAGTAAGACATTCTGCTAAATACCTTTTGATGATTTCTGTCTTCTGGATTATTGCACCATGTAGTCTGGTATATTTCCACCACCGTTTCAGAGGTCATACTGCCTCCATCATCAGGGCAATGAATTCATCTACCAGACTACATGGCGCAATAACCCAGAAGACAGCAACCTTCAGACTCACCGCTGTGAAAACCTCAAATCCTAAATACCTTTTCTTCATTAATAAAATCATGCTACCTGAACTACGAAGATTATGCTTTTATTAAACAGCTATGTCCAATAAGAAACCAGGTCTCATGGGTATAAGATATCACTATTCAAATTTGTTCATTTCAAATCCATTCAAAAGTAAAGGATACCAACTTACAATGATGGGCATGAGATATTTCACAATGGTGTGAACAGTCAGATACTCATAGCAGAGTCCAAATGGGCGAACAAGAGCATAAATCACTGTTACTGTGAGGTTCTTCCCACTCTGAAACCTTTCCAGCAGGATCTGGAAGCCACCCAAGTTTCCAAACCTGCAAAAACATACAACGTAATCGCATGAGCAAATAGAAATGCGTAAAAATAATCCAGATAATGATGAAGGAATAAACTTAATCTGTGGAGTTTCTAGCTTCAATATTTACTACCATCTATGGGAGCAGGGTGTTTTGGCACCTGCCTGGCTCAGTCATAATGAAGGATTCTCCTGTGGTTCAGCTTCTTGCTGAGAATTCCCCAACCAGTCACTCTGCACACAGACACATACTTGGTCTTCACATAAACAGCCAATTATTGTTCAATTTTAACCAAGCTTGGAACGTGATGACAAATTTAGTAATACTTTCAGCAACAAATTTCATTAAAATCTCTTCAAGTTATTAAAGGTTCTCAAGTTATTATATGTGGATAAACAGATGGACAGACAGATATGGTAAAGCTAATAAACACTTTTGCAACCTTCTGTTGATATCATGCAAAAAATATATCAAATACAATTTATTTTTATGACAAACCGCAATGTGTCAATTTAAATGAACACTTAACCTGGCTAAAGCAGTAAATTCCAGATTACTCCAGAGATTTAAATGAACTTTCTTAAACACTAACAAACTTAAAGTTCTATATTGTTACCAATGACTGCCATTGGAGACAATTCTGTGCTGGTTCCCTCTGCCTAACAAAACAAATATCAAGAGAATTAACCAATTCTGTGGATAACAACATTAATGTCCACTATTTTAGGGCTACTTACCTCCTTCTTCCATTCACTGTTCTGCTTAAAACATCATCATGAAAGAACATCTCTCTTGTGCAGGAAAAAGAACCCAGCACACATACATGACTTGTACACATTCTTTAGAAGAAATACCACTTATATTTTCATATATGTTGCAAATTTACCTATTTATAAGGTCAATAAGCCAACCACGTGGTGCCCGAGTGTCTGATGGTAGTCGAGCATATAAATCCTCATCTGGGATATTTGACCCAGGTGAAACAGTATCTGATGGACGAGAACCATTGAACGTATGAAATCTGCAAATAAAAACCATGTATATATGTATTACATTTTAAGCACAGATTCAAAGTTGAAGAATGTGACAGATATTTACATGAGATATTTGGAGGAGGACGAAGATGGTTCTCGAACGGCTTGTGTTTCTCTCCATTAAACCACCTTACACGGCTGGTAGTCCGAGAAGAATTCATTATTCATCAAAATACTGTTTAATGTATGTCATCTTATAAACTATACTCTAATATTTTACTTCTCTCACATCATACAAACAGTTTACACCACAGATCCTGGAATAAATCTTTCCTCACTAACCACATGAACAAAGAAGATTTAATCTCTTCTGAAATAATTGCTTCTATTTTAATATATCATCTTTTCCAATGTTTTGTATTGCTATTTCAATTGTGTTACTATAAGACCACACATATGACAATTGTACAAAGAGATATCCACACACAAATGAATGGCAAGAGCTAATTGTGTGTGCATGCTGCATGCTGTGATATATGACATGTTTGTGAGGGCCATTCAACTGATTAGGTACATAAGCATGAAAGCAACAGCCAATGAATGTGTGGAGCATGCTCTAAATTGTATCATGTCTCATGAGCATATACCTACCCTGTACAAGTTCAGTGTCACCAGTGTTCTGACTAACAGACAACACATTTTTTGTAATTCTAACCAACTGGAACTTAAAATCCAGCGAATACATTCCTCATGACAGAAGACAAATCTCACAAGGAGACTCATATTGGATATTCAATGTTTACACAGTCCCCTGTCTGCGTACTACCAAATAATATTCTCGAAAAAGCAGTTCAAATAGGAAGTCAACTGAAAAGACCTCAGGTATGTATGATATCTTGAGGCTCCAAAGTAGGAAATATGTAATAGTCCAAAGTTAATATAATAGAAGATAGTAACAACAAACTGAATATTTTAATTAATTGACTGGGGATTTCTATGGATACAGTTTTCCAAATAACTTAAAACAAAACTATTCATCTAGAAAAGTTCTCATAGAGTACACGGAATGCAAACTTCAGATCCGAAGAGACCAATATGGAAGATGCAGTAACAATTCATATCTCTTTAAACAGGATGAAGATACTTAATTTTCTATAGTAGTGACACTGGTGGAAGCAATATGGACTACAAATAAATCTAGAGAAGACAGAAACGTAACAAATTCTTGAGCAATGGAAGGAAAAAAGTATTAAAAATAAATAGAAAAGAGATAAAAGCAGAAGGTAAAACTATCTGGAATGCCTGCTTTGCACAGAACTGGTTTGGGGTTCAAACCCTGACATGCAATTGCTTTCTTCCTCCTACATTTTTCACTGTCCTTCGGTTTCATCCATACTTGGTCTAGACTGACTGACTACCTGGTAGCAGAACCAGCAGGCCCTACATTGACAACACCAAAGCCCGCCACCAGACATGATCCTAATCCAACCTCACAGCCCACCTCCCTAAGATCGATCTTTATATTATCCACCCATCTCCTTCTTTGTCTGACCAGTGGTTGTCTTCCAGAAGGATTCCTAACCAAAATTCTGTACAAACCCCTTGCCGCCTCCATGCATGCTACATGTCCAGCCCATGGGAGCCTCCTAGATTTCGCTGTCCTCACTATGCTATGTGACCTGTACAATTCACGCAGCTCCTTGTTATGTAATAGTCTAAATTCCCCACTTATTTCATTGCTCCTAGGTCCAAATATCTTCTTGAGCACCTTCTTTTCAATCACTTGTAATCCACATTCTTCCTCCAAGGTAAGAGAATATGTTTCACAACCATAGAAAACAACAGACAAAATCATTGTTTTATATATCCTGATCTTTAGTGTTCTGGATAGCAAACGAGATAATAATGTTTTTTGAATAGTTTCCCAAATGTATCTACTCTTAATTTCATCATGAACCTTATTTCTGTGTGTTGTTATTGTTCCCAGATACTTTTTTGAAACATTTTCAAATGATGTGTTACTTATAATTATGTTCCACCACTGTTGCTGATGTTGATCCTGTCTTACGCCCATGTATTTAGTTTAGTCTACATTTACCTCCAGACCCATTTCCTTGCTAGTCTGTAGGAGAGTTTCTGCATTCTTGGTTATGATACCCTGATACCCTCACCATCCCCCAGCACATAAACATCATCAGCAAAGGCAAGAACCTGGTGCAGATCATTCAATTCGAGCCCATCCTGATTCCCACCGACTCTACATGTCCTAGAGCAAAATTGAAAAGCACTGGGGATAAAGCATCCACGTTTTAGGCCACTGTGCAGAGGGAATGGATCTGACAGAAGGTTACCTGTACAAACTCTACTACATACCCCACCCAAACACATCTTAATTAACCTAACAAGTTTCTTTGATACTCGGTATAGACACTACTTTCAAACATTCCCATCCACTGGAGCGACTCCCTCCTTTGGACCAGACATGTCAAGACCTTCATGAGTTAAGTAAAATTATGATGGTGCCTCTTACTTGTTATTAGGGTTCAACACCATGGCCAATAAATCTAACAGCGGGAACCAATCCTGCGACAGCTTCACTACACAGAGCTCCACCAAACGTTCACAGTTCTGATAGATGCAGTGATGAATGTTAAATTTCCAGCTGTTTACAGCATCATCTGTGAGGATTTTGGTGAAGGAGATGGTAAGACCCTCACGAAAAAATCGCTGACATGCCTCACTGTGCACATCCAAACCTGCAAACATAAAATGGTACCATCCACTAAGACCAAACGATTTAATATGGCATATGTATATAGGGATTCATAATGTGTACTATACACATAGACTCATGTCATTCACCATCTAGTAATACGCCGGCTAAGTAAGTGGGTGCTGGTGTGCAACATACTCTTCATACTCCTTCACTATAAAAAAAAAACTTGTAACATCTGAATTTCAAAATCAGTTACTCCTGTAACTTATTTTCCAAGGTCTGTCAATCATCAATATAAGTGAAAACAAAAAAAGTGGGGCACATGCAACTAATTAATTAAAAAAAGATCCGTTATAAAAGTGTCAAAAAATACAAATTTAAAAATAGCATTCTCAACTAGAACACCAAAACATACTTCAAAATAAACATACCTAATCAATATTAAAATACAACAACTTATATATAAACTTACAGGTTTAGACTGCTCTCAATCATACATAGGTGAAACAAAATGATCTTTACATCACACATGTAGCATTAATAATGACAGAGAAGACTCAGGACATGCAACTCACATTTTCAATAATACACATCATTACAGAAAGACAGAACAGATTATGCACAACATGCCTTGACATATAACTGACAAAGAAATCATAACAGATGACGCTACGTACACATTATGAGAACCACGTGCTAGGTACACAAAAACTAAAAAAACCAAGCAACACTCACTTTGTGGACATAGAACTTCAACAGATACACAAAGAAGATAGGCAACCATTACAACACACTAACAGTTTAAATAACATGTTAATAATAGATATAATACAGAAAGAATACCTGAAAATCATAAATGTGTTATATTTACAGATAAAATGTGAATATAAAAAACCTACTATTAAAAACTTTACTAATGTGACAACTACCACACACAATTTAAAAATCATGTAACCATCAACATAAATCCCATACAAGGAAGAAAAAATAAAAGCTTTTTAATATGGTTTAATATATTTTAATTCCCCCTCCCCAGAAAGATTAGTCTTATAATCATGGTTGCTTTACAAACAAGATCAGAAAGGTGTAATCCATACCAGAATATACAAATGCATCCTTTGAAAATTCAGAATTCTAAATGCTCTTAGCTGAAATATTAAATAAACATACAAGTATTTCCATCGCCAAAGTCCACATAAGCATGGGAATATACTGCGGGCAATGTAATAAACAAATCACTTCACTTCACCATAAGACTAATTAATTAGCTCTTGCCTACTTACCTTCATATTAACAAAACAAACGAGAAAATAGCAAGCATTGTACCACTTTCCACATATTTTCACATAAATACATAGACATACATATTAAATGCTGTATTCTTTCTTCTACACTGATTCAATTGTTCAACAGAAACTGACTGTTGAAATAACAGCATACAATTCAAAAACTTCATGATCAATAAACACAATTTATAGCCAATTATATATACCAAAATGTATCTTGCCCTATTAGTTTCTAAAAGATTTAGTCTTACTTGTACAATTTTAGTTTCCAACTACATAAATTATGCGGGCTTCACGCCTTCTTTAATGTAAATCAATACTTGTACACTACAAGGTGCATTAGCTCTGTGGCAGCATACTAAACTATTACGCATGGCAGCACAGGATCAAATTCTCATCAAAAGCATTTTTTTTCTAACATGGAACAACCATGCTGTTATTTTACACTGTACAAAGAATTTCTGTATCAAACTTTCATATTTTATGGCTCTACTGCAAGTGGTGTCACTGTTGATCCCACCTCACAAGTTTGTATAGTCACCACATTGGCATTGCCAACTGTGGGAAAATGAAAAGTACAATTTTACAGTGAACCCCAATGGCCTAACATCGATTCCAAATTTAATGTAAATCCACACTGCACTGCTTGAGTTAAATCATGTGGGGGGACAGACAGACATGATTAGTCCTTTGAGAGTTCATTTCATGCACAACATACAAAGAACACACAATAATAGTTGGGTTAACATGGTAATTAGTTATGACGTGCATAATGCAAAAAATATTATAGATCATAACAAGGAACACAGTCACATAAGAAGAGTGATAGGTAAACACGAGGTGTGTTCAAAAAAAGACCGAACTTTGTAAATAGCATGCCAACCGGGACAGAGAGTGTGCTGCGGCTACTGAGCACACCTAGTGGCAGGTTTTGACGACAAACTGCCATTTGCCGCATTCCGCTATGAACATTAGTCATCGAGCTACATCCGCTGAACTGAGCACGTGCACAAGCTGTTCGTCGGATTAGTGACAAAGTGACAATGAAAGGGTTTGAAGAACAGAGTGTGTGTGTGTGTGTGTGTGAAATTTTGCTGTAAACTTGGTAAAAATTTTACACAGACATTTCAATTGCTTAACCAAGCATATGGGGAGGACTGAAAAGGAGATAATTCAACACTACCAGCAGCCACTTTTAAAAGAATTATATATGTCTGAAGGGACTTCACTAGGACAAATGCTTCTTCCCTCAAAACACAAGATACCTGCAACTTACCCTTCCGACAGAGGTCAATAGATGCCTGAAGAAGAACTTCTAATTCTTGCTCAGGCAAGACAGGAACCACCCAGCGTGGACTCGAGATTTTGTCATCCAGCAAAGCGAGCTTAGCATGGGGAAAATCTGGCTCTGCTCCAACAACTCCGCCTGAATTGTCTTCTCCCAAAAGCTCATTATTCATTTGTTGCTGATCCAATGATTGTTCACCTCCCATAATCCCAGTCTCCGATAACTGGATGCTGCCTCCATTCCCGGGCTGTACAATCTGCTGTGGCTGCTGGAGCGACTGACATACAAATCACAACATTTCAACACAGACCCAGGAAATCAAAATTGTTAAATAAACACTTTCAATAAAATAAAGCATAAAATATGTGACCAAAATATACAGGAAGGGGGGGGCCAAGAGTATTTACCGTATGAATTTATCATTACATATTGTAAAGTACATCTTGTATCTGTTCAAAATGACTGCTATGGTTCTAAAAGCAGACCTGCTCATTTCAAACACATTTGCTAAAAGATCCTGCACCTTTTCTTCAGAGGCACAACCTCTATTAAAATATGCAATTCATTCTAAAGATTGCTGTCTTCTGGGGTGTTGAACAGTGTAGTCTAGTAGATGTTTACCAACGTTTCAGAGGTCCTTGCTGCTTCCATCATCAGGGCTCAACAACCCAGAAGACAGCAATTCTCAGACTCACCGTCGCAAAAACTTCAAATCCCAGATAAGTAATTCATTTATCAGGGAGTTCAGATAATAATAACCTTGGATCAGAAACAACAGAGAACTGACATACGACACAAATGAGAATCAGTAGTAGTAACATCTTCAACTGAAACCATCACCAATGTTGACCTATATTACTATATCACCTTTAAATGTCTGTAGCTCCACAAGAGCTGGACATAAGAACAATGTTGCACAAACACTTTTAACTAAAATTTCTTCCTGAATCGCCCTCCAATGTGTGGCAGACCAACTGGGATACACACTATATGTCTAAATCCATGGTGAAGAACATCATAAAAATTTGGTTGTTACTCAGCTATACCTGTAGAACCCAAAGTTCTTTACCATGTTCGCAAAAGACCACCATATCCTATATTTCACACCTTCGGACCTAATTTCTCCAGTGTCTGTTTTTACATTTTTTTTTCAATTATGCCTAGGTCTCCCACGTGAATTTTAGTAAATTGTGTGAATTCTGTCAGCACCTTTTTCTCAAACGACTTCAATCTACTATGTATATCAACAAATTTTTGGACTCACTGTAAAGTAATACTGCTGTGGTATATACAGATATAGGTAACTTAAAAAACTGTAAGACGTGCCACTCCGACTTCAAAGGTATGCTTTAACAAGTATTATTAGGTTATTAAAAGTCATTCCACCTCAATTCAGCTAATTTCAGAATAACCACCAGCACTCAATATCATCAAATTCTGTACAACTTTGCACGCAAAAAATGTAGTCCCTTTAAAGTTATCATTTGCATTTTGAGAGTATTCTATGAATTAGCTTTAAAAATGTACTATTTCCCAACAACGGTGTCACACAGAAACAGCTATTATGCAATTTTTCACATTTTTAAAATGCCATAACTTTAAAACCATTAGTTGCATCTACATTCTTTTACCCTCATACTTGTCAAAAAGCCTCATGGACCAAATTCCAACTTCCTTTGGCCTCAGCCAATAATAGACTACTGCTGGATTCTGGACTGAACAGAACTTCAATATTAATACTACAAAGAGTCCTCCTGTAGGTGGAAATGTGTACAGAGTTTCCTACTTACATCTGATCACAATTTTGAGATGTGACAAATATTAATTTTTTGCTAGTTTATAAAAATAATGTTATTTTGTGGTAAGTTTCAATTAAATACATACTGAAATTACCTAACAACAAAAAATCAAGTAAATATGCCCCAAAAATATTCTCACAGATCAACAATTTCAGGGTGAAATGTAAATATTTTCAAATGTCCACAGTTACTACCATGGTAATTCTGTGAAAATAATGTGTGTGACATTTTTCTTTTGTGTTTCTGCATAAAGCTTATATGTCAATGTGCAAAAATGGAAAAACCATGTGTAAAAAAAAGAGAGAGAATCATTATGTTTACTTTCACACATTTAGATGTAACAGTTTAACAATGACACTTTTAAAAATACTAGAACTGAAAACAATACCACAATGGTACATTTGTAGTTCACATGGAAAAATGTGTTATACCAGGAGATCCAATAACTGTGCAAAACATACTACTGTCAGACTTCTGGCGACTGCATTATTTAAAAGAAATTTAAAGACAAACTCCAATCCTGTCTTCACCAGACACGTCATTTTGCTGTTTAAAAGATAATGCATAGGAAATGTAAACAATTTTTGCACAATGGAAGAAGACCAAAATTGTATTGAAAGGTGTATAAATATCCTTGAACCAGAATAGGAATTAAATTTATGTACGCAAAAAATCTGAAACTGTAAGAATGTCCAACTCCAGCACAAAAAAACAACATAAAACTGTTAAATATTTTCCTAAAGTTCTTGCAGTCACAAGCTTACTATTGAATAAAATATCAACAAATTTTGTAGGTGTGCATAAGCTCTCATTATACGCAACAATGGAGGAAATTACACGACCATACATTTGGTAACAAAGAAGAGATTTAATAAAATGTCTACTGAATGAACTCTTGTATTGTAATTTGAATATGTCTTTATACAACAACATTTCTATCTTCTTCTATTTCGCGAGAGCTTGAAGTCGAGCCTTGGCAACATTTCCATGGCACTTATTAAATACATGTATTATGATAATGACTTCATCTAAACTTTATCTTCTTCATTATACTATGCTGCAGATGCATTTAATTTCAACAGAAATATTGTCAATGTATGCTATGCCATACAGACATTTTACATTCCTTATTTAAATTACAAATAATAATTGACTATAAGGCCTTACAATATGTATTTATTTGTATTTTCTAACAGTGCCAGTCATTCAGACTACTTTGTACCAAATGATACAATAATTCATGAATTTTGAGGGATGTTGAAAGAAGTTATGACCTCTGTTGTACCCAGTTGTCAGCAACATCTTCATCGAAAGTTTCAAGAAACTAGCAATGGTCATAGTAGACATAAAACCAGATATACGGCTAAAAAATGTCACAGAAACATTTGGGTTTGGCCATACAGATCACCAAGATTACAGAAATTCCTCAACACCTCAACAATCAGTGATGTACCATACAATTCATTACGAAAGTTGAAGCAAACACACTCTTCCTCTCTTTGATGTCTTGGTCACAAAAAGAGGTTCAAACTTATTCACAAAAGTACACAAGAAACCTACTCATACAGAATGTCACATTTAAAATTTGACCACCCCCAGAATGTAAACTAAGGAGCTGTTTACAGTCTAGAACAGAGCCAAAATCACGTTACAGAAACAAAATTACTTCAATAGAGAAATTGCGACTATAAAACATGATCTGGTACTTAACAGATACCAACATCAGTAACTCCATTACCAAACCACTGAGAAACAATCACCCACCTTCTGACAGAATACCTTATGCCATGGCAATTATCCCATGCAACATAGGTATTTCAAAGAAATTATGCCATATTGAGAACTGTTATAATATCAGGACTATTTTCAAAACTAAATATAAAATCGGTGGGGCAATTATGTCAACTTCATAGTTTGATATGTGCAGCAGACCAGGATATGTGGCTACAGTATCCGCTATGATTGTGGCATGTTACAAGCGAAATAAGCAGACCCCTGGAAGTATGAATTAAGGGGGAAAAAACAAAATATACAAACATGAATACAAAGAACACCAAATATGTTAAAATTAACCTAGGGTTCTATAATTAGAACCTGATATCATATACAGGAAATACAAAGACTCAGCACATCCCTGTTAGTTAGTCCAGTTCGAAAATCAAACTCCACCGACTGTGCCTAACAGAGTAGATTTTGCCTGAAAACAGAGACAGATTCCAGTCTCCAAAATGTAATTTTAATTGTATTAAGACAATGGATACTATTCATGAAGCCTGTTATTTTAATACACCATCATAAACCCTCT